GAAAAATCTACTGAAAATGCTTCCATATCTGTCTAGAATATACAATGCCTATCTTTTATTCTTTGTCTTCTATATTATGGTGCTATCAGTTTTTAGGAAAGATCATATGGGATGTGCCAGCTATTGACCTAAAGCCTTACTAAATCTGGTCAGCTATTACAACCCATTATTCATAAAGACCAAGTCACTTTTATAACCTAAAGAAATACAGAGCACCAGGGAAAACAACCTAATTAAAAGGTAACTACTTGGATATCCCTGTCACATGTATCAGGAGGCTGAAGAAGTGGGTTCACACAGTGGATCGAAGGCAAAATTGGTGGTGCATCACTGGGGGTTGGCTGCAAGAACACAAAAGAAACAGCTAGCTCCCAATGACATTGGAAGGAAGGATGGTGGAACTGGGCCTGCAAAGTAAGGGGATAGGGAAAAAATTCCCAGGTGGCAGTTGTGTTAGAGTTCCTCTTTAAAGCAGAACTTAACTTTGCAAATTAAGGGGCCATTACTCCACCCTAGTAATAAAAATAGTCAATGTTTTCCCTTTGGTTTTCTTTTGGGGGAGAGCTTTTTCAGTTTTTTTTGTTCTTTGTTTTAACTTTTTCCAGGTGGCCCTGCCCCCGCCACAGTTCTTAATATTGAGCCTTAAAAAGGGCCAAAAAGGTGTATTTAACTGCATAAGTTGGCCATTTTTTATGACACTATTGCAACTTGTAGGTATTCTTGGCTCTTTTCTTTTAGACAGTCCAATCCTTTTATTCTAAACTATTAGCAATTATAAAAAATACTGTATGCATCGCAGTCACATTTCATTACAGGTACTTATATAGCTCTGTCAATTTACACATATATTGTACATTCACAACAGTCCCTGCCCTCAAGGAGCTTACAGTATTAGGTCCCTAACTCACATTCATACATGCCAGGGCCAATTTTAGAAAGGAGCTAATTAACCTACCAGCATGGCTTTGGAGTGTGGGAGGAAACCAGAACACTCAGAGGAAACTCACGTAGGCACAGGGAGAACATGCAAACTCTAGGCAGGTAGTGCAGTGGTTGGGATTCAAACCAATGACCCTCGTGCTGCCAGGCAGAAGCACTAACCACTCAACCACTGCGCTGCCGTTTTTTTGTTTGCCTGTTTGTATCCAGCTGCTTGCACATCAAATTTGCAATCCTTGCATAAGGTTCCTATCTAGAGAACTGAAACATTAATTGGTCACTGACAAATGTATTATAATAAAGCCCAGCACTAGTAATTAAAAAAATACTACCCTTTAGTTCCTAAAGACAATACGATATTTTCTTACAAAGTGTTTTGTCACATGAAATACCCATAAACCTTCTCTGCAGGTATTTGTATTGGTTTATATTTCAGAACACCATTTTAGGGTGTTGGCTGCAAAGGGCCAGTTGGGGACCTTGATAAACTTTTAAAATGGACCTTAGAAGCTCATGCTAGTTCACATGTCATTTCAAAGCAATGGGTCCCCTTCTAGTCAGTGAGAGAATGGGCCATTAGGTAAGCTTGTATGATTATGGAAACGAAAATAGTGACATTATTCATCATGATGATATAGATGCTCTTATTGGTTTTTACAAAGTGTTTATTTGAAATGTTAAAATGTTAGTGAAGATAGGCTGACCGCTAAAAAAGGCTTAGTAATCAAAGGCAATTTGTTCCACGAACGTCCATTTCACAGCTATATGTTGTGTTCCCAGGATAATACATATTGGGGTTGATTTACTAAAACTGGAGAGTGTAAAATTTTGCATAGAAAACCAATCAGCTTCCATGTTTTATTTGTCAACGCTTAATTCAGCGGTTCTCAACCTGTGGGTCGCGACCCCTTTGGGGGTTGAACAACCCTTTCACAGGGGTCACCTAAGACCATCGGAAAACACATATTTCCAATGTGTAAAGAGCAGCTACTGTGTAGAAAGCAGCTACTGTGTTGAAAGCAGCAGTATTGGAGGTAAAACGACACTTCATGAATTATAATTACTGGGTAAAAAATGTTATGGTTGGGGGTCACCACAACATGAGGAACTGTATTAAAGGGTCGCGGCATTAGGAAGGTTGAGAACCACTGGCTTAATTGAACAAGCTGAAGTTAGAAGCTGATTGGTTACCATGCACAGCTGCACTAGATTTTGTGCTTTCCAGTTTTAGCAAATAAACCCCATAGTATTATATTATAGTAAACTCCTTATTTAGTTTACTCATTGGAATTATTTGCTTGGCAGAGCTTACTGAGTTGTAGCAAACTAACATGTGTCATGGAGCAGCACTGTATGCTGTGAATCCAGGTTACGGCACTTTGTCGTAGTAAAGCTTACATTCTTGGAAGTAGGCCCATAGGTAAGCAGATATTACTCTAGCCATTCAGTGTTTTGCCTTCATCATAATATTGTAAATGCCCTTATTAGGGCTTTACAAAGTGATTACTCTTGTTATCTCTGCAGTAAAAATAAATAAGGTCACAAGACTTTGGTTTTCCAGAGCAGCCATGGGACAGTGGGCCACATTTCCAAATATACTATACACTTATTCATTGGCCCTATTTTCTTACTGACCATAAGCGGACTTTTGCGCACTCTACTATGAGAGAGACTCTGATACAGGGTTTGACTTATCCCTTTACAAGTTAATGGAAAAGATCAATTTTCTTGGCAGAGCAAATAAGTCGTCTAACATGCAATTACTGCATATTGGTCAGATTTGCACAACACTTAGCACAGCTTCTCCTTTATTATTTTCTTTTAATTCTAAAATTCAGAAATAAAAAAAAAAAATTAAACTCTTCTCCATGTAAAAGCACAAAGGGAAATCTATGTCTGTCCCTCAGGCTAAAAGTGTACATTATTCCATTACCAAATAAACATAGTCACTCTGCTTGGAGAATTGGTTTTCACTTAACCCTGTTTTATATAAGGTATGATGAAACAACTTGATTTATATCTGAACTCTGCAGGTTTTTTTTTTCATTCTTCCTCTTTTTTCGTGCTTGGCTTTGGTACAAGTTGGATGACATGGCGGAACAATGGCTCACAGACAACATGATGTCATTCCCTCACAGAACACACATGGAAACATGTAAGCAACAAAAAAAACACCAGGGATTCTGCTGGGGGTACTCATTAAACAGTAAATAACTTAATGGGACTGAGAACATTGATTAATTAAAGTATAATAGCACAGTCAAATCAATACAGAGGGAAATGAAATACATGTGTTGTTTTGTATATAAAAATATAATAAAATACATAAATATGTTACACTTCACATTATGCTATTTCACAAATCTACAAAGAAAAGTCTTTCAACTGAATCATAGTAAAACATATTGCAAGAACAACAGCTTTAGAAAATGAAGTTTCTTAAATGAATCTATTGATCTTACCATATCATAATATATCAGATCAAACAATATATAATATAACAAACTGTATCATAACTAGGCTGGCAACAAACAGTCAGATTTTAAATCTAATCAACAAAAAGTTTTACTTATTGCTAGGGCCTACCTAAACAATCCATTCAAGTTTTACCCAACAGTCAAACTACTCATCATTTTGCTGATGTGATAGATCAAAATTTGTGGCTAGCTTTGAAGAAGACCCCCACTGAGCAATAAAATAATGTTTAAGCATTTTACATTCTAGTAAAACAAAGGGGTATACAAAGTGTGATGAGTCTACAAGGGCCAGGAAAAGCTATATGCAGGACCACACTTAAGCGGGCCACATGTTATTTAATTTTCTTTTCAATTTCCGCTAGATTTACTTTCAACAATGTAGTACAAGAGCCTGCCTGATTGCATATAAATTGAGAGTGTTTAGGTTTGACCTCATATTATATGGTTTTGGCAAATCTAAAGGAAAATTGAACAAAAAAATTGTATAATGTATGGCCAGCCTTACCTAACTGAAAAAAAATAACACTTTACTAACTAATACAACCAAGTATTTTTCAATTAAATATTTTTCTGGGCTATGCTTGTGAAACCTGCAAAATGCATCCCTATTTTACATAGAAAGTGACATAGTTGTTATTTTAAAAGCTAAAAAAGGGCTCAGTTTAAATAAATAAATTATTATTTACATGTTCATCATCCATGCCACTGATTTTTGGTGTGTTTTAGAGATAAACTTGCTGAGGAATCTTCAGCATCTGACACAGTTCCAAGTCTATCATATGCCTGCTTTCCCACTGTGCTCTGAGGTTCCTTCTCCCGGCCCCTAAGTCTCTACTGTGTTTTGTAGGGGTTTATGGGCCAGTGAATGAAACCACTAAGCATAGTGGGGGAACCTGGCATATGTCACTCCTGGAAGTGTTGGCTGCAAATAATTCTTCAAAAAAGTTCTATATAATTTCAAAATAGTGAAGATCGATAGCCTGGGCTGAGAGACAAGTATTCATTCTTTTCTTTACAGGGAGGCCTTTTTTAATAGAGAGTTTCCGGATAGAAGTCTAGTCAAAACTTTGTTTTGGACAGAGTGAAAAAGAATGTGCTCATTTTCAGAAGATGTGTTATTTTCTGTTCCTGTGACTATTGACATCTAGGATAGGAAGTAAATAAAAATATTCCCAATAGGGACCTAGCTGCAACAGATACCTATTTTTTAGGAGTGGGGAAGAGTCAGTTATTATTGCTGTCTGTCTGTGGAGATCTCATGACATTTCCTGTCTTGTAGAAACTGCTACTATCTCTGGAGCAAAATACATTGACATACACGGATATACAGTGGATAGAACAATGAAATAACACAGCATACCATTCATAAAGGTTTGAATGTGGGCTGGAAGGATTGTTCTTACAGTTCCTTCCAAAGCTATTGGAGATGTAAAAATAAGATTAAAGTTCTGAGTCAGCATGAGCCCCAATTCATCTTTGAATTACACAAAAACAATGGAACCTAGAAGGCTCAATATTGAGTTTGATTTACCGTATTTTTCGCTCCATAAGACGCACCTGACCATAAGACGCACCTAGAAGATTTTAGAGGAGGAAAACAAGAAAAAAAATATTCTGAAACAATGGACTGCAGACATAGTACAGGAGATGACCAGAGACTGCAGACATAGTACAGGAGATGACCAGAGACTGCAGACATAGTACAGCAAATGACCAGAAACTGCAGACAAAGTACAGGAGATGACTATAAACTGCAGACACAGTACAGGGGGATGACCAGAGACTGCATACATAGTACAGGAGATGACCAGAAACTGCAGACATAGTACAGGAGATGACCAGAGACTGCGGACATACTAAAGATGACCAGAGATTGCAGACATAGTATAGAAGATGACCAGAGACTGTAGACATACTACAGATGACCAGAGATTGCAGACATAGTACAGAAGATGACTAGAGACTGCGGACATTACTACAGGAGATAACCAGAGACTGCGGACACAGTACAGGAGATGACCAGAGACTGTGGACATAGTACAGGAGATGACCAGTGACTGCAGACCTTTGGGGGGGGGGGGATGGTACCCAAATTTGACAGGTTCCCACTTCCGTGGAGTTGTCCTCCCCCCTCCCTCCCTAGTAGTCTTGTGGGACACGTGACAGGTCCCAAAAGACTACGGGAAAGTCACAAAGTGCAGCGCTTCTCGCGTATGCTTAGAGGGCACCCGGCTGTGAAGCCACAAGCTGTCACAGCCGGTTGCCCACACTGAAGATGTCGCGCCCAGGTGAGAAGACAGCTGATGAAAGCAGGACACCGCTGGACCGTGAAACAGGTAGGACAAAGGAATGGGTTCTTCTGCACAGTAGAGCCGAGCGGCCGGCCTGGTATTCTAACACGGCGACGGGAATACAGGGCCCACCACTCCGTATTCGCTCCATAAGACGCACAGACATTTCCCCCCATTTTTTGGGGGAAAAAAGTGTATCTTATGGAGCGAAAAATACAGTAAATTGTTTTATCAGTGATTAATGGGTTAGGTGCAATATAATTTGTGCCCACTAAATGGCAGATCCTTTTGCTTTTATTACAGAGTAGGGTGTTTTATGTATTTATTTTATTTTAAAATTAGATCTAATGTGTATCCAGAAGCTACTAATTGTATTGCTATAGGAGTTCTTAATGGTATTTAAGTTTTATGTGGGGTTTAATGTAATATGTTGGATTGGGAGATCACCATTGTAATAGTAAACAAATACCACTATAAAGCTTGTGAGATTGCACCCAGCCTCGATCCCCTGAGGAAGTCACGTGACTGTGATGACACACATAGGGAAGAGCTGAGTGATGAGTGAGCGACACAACCGGAAGTGACACTGGAGCCCCGGCCCCACTGTCAATTTGAATTTTAAAAATATTGTTTTTTTCTAACCTTTGTAAGTGCAAGCCTTATATTTAATAAAAACACTTTTAAACATTCGACTACACTATAAGGACCCACCCAATCTTCTAAAGGGTCATACACTTTGCAATACAGATGATAAATGAACCCAAGCTGGATTATGTGGAGGAAAGTCAAGCTATGTGAAAGGATCCTGAGAATAACCCTGAAAGTGCTTCTGACGTGAATATTAGTAGGTCCATCAAAGGAGGTTAGCGCATAATGAGATATTAAGGTGGAAGAAAACACAACACTACATTTTGGGGATTGTTTATCAAGATGCACGGTTTCTTGAACATAAGGTGGTCAAGAATGAATATAAGATCATAATACAACAAATAACAAAGACTGAATGTATGTATTGAATTTTATTTTTAAGTGGCACAAGATACTATTATTTATTTTTGCATGAATGTAAGGGGACTGCAATTTAGGTAGTTAGGTGCTGCCTAGACGTGAGGATTAGGGTTAACTCTGCTCTCTGTTTTTTTGTTTTTGGCGGGATTTTTGGGTCCAAACCCACTGATTCTGTGTATATAAAAGGGACAGTGGTCTGGGGCCTGAGAGTCAAGTGCCTGCTGGATGGGAGCTAGGACACAGCGAACCAGCAAGATGTCATTTTCAGAGAGTTTCCACATAAAAGATTCTGCTGAGGACCTGAGCAGTACCACATCTGCAATGTAGGGGGACTGCTGGAACCTGTACTCTGCCCTGAAAAAGCCAGCTGCTGGATACTCCCAAAGCATGGATTTTGCCACTAATGGACCAGGAAGCACACGGATTCTACTTTTGCAGGTATACCGGGGCAGCACATAGCCTGCTTAGGAGTAGAGACTTGGGGATAATGACTGTTCTCTTGGAGTTCTTCTTGGACTGTTTTGTCTCGGGTTTTGTGTCACGAGCATACTTTTACTCAGAAAAGCATTGAATTTTGCCTTCTGCCTGGTCTGAAGTCCTGTAAAAGGGGTGCATTGCAAGTATACTGTCTTACCAGTTAGCCAGCAGCTAGCTAACAAAACTGACAGAAGCAACATGTGTTTTTGCATTCCAAAACTGAATTTACTTCTGTGAATAGTTCTGTAAAACTGCAATACAAACATATAAATTCAAATTAAAATATGTCTTTCACAAATGCATACAGTGAATACATTTCTTACAAACAGCTACTGTACCTACAAATCATAAAGAATACATTTAAATGGGACCTAGCTTTGTATGTGACTTTAACAAACACAATGAAAAAATGTACAGGCATATGTGTATCAGAGGGAGAATGGAGGCCTTCACTGGTATTCTTCTGGACGCTAAACTGGAACTGCAATAGGAGAGGAAATCTTTATTTTAATGAACGCGTCCTGTTCTCGTTGAAAGGGAATAATAAAAGTTAAGTTGCAGTGAACACCCAATACATGGCTCCCTACTCAACACAATGATGATATACAGAACAGAAAGTAACCGGCACTATTGCACATATACAGCTTTTGGTCACTAACATATTGGGGTATGAAGAGTTAACATGCTAAGAGTCACTATAATGCAAGTTATACATGTGGTTGCCATAAGCAATGGAAGGTACAGTCAGCAAGCAGCATGTCATAAACGTGTACCTGTTATAGATGGTATTACCTCTAGCTGCGAGTTAGATGTTGTCGGCACTTGCTATGCCGCATTCTGTCCCCCACAGCAATCGAAGCGTTGCAGAGGTCCCAATTTTGTACAGATGTATGGAAGTTAAAGTCAAGTGTACGTTGGAGCCCACTCTATGTGCATGGGTTCCATGCTGCTTCTGGGATCAGTAGTGGAAAACGCTGGATAGGTGGCTTGGTCAGTGTTCTGCACAGCCCACCTAATTGCAAGCTACAGTGGGAAGATGTACATTTACACGGGGACCCAAGAATAACTGAAGACCAGTTATGGTGTATTATACATCTCTAAAGGCCCACCTTAAGGTCGAGTATTGCCCCATGGCGGCCTCAGCCTTGTCCCAGGGCATTGATGAAATGAAACAAGAGTAAAGTTAACCTATATGTGGGAAGTAGAGTGACCCTGTCACAGGTGCCTAACGTAGCCCAGAAAAACCCACTCCTAGATACACCTCCTATGTGACCCACACTTGGTGCCTAATGAGGAGGGAATCATGAAGGGAGTGTCACCCACCTACCCTACATGTGGATGACATATACACGTTGTTATTTTTAGAGTGTTGGTTAGCAGGCACAGCAAAATCTATGCACTGTGATTTTGCTGAACCCAGAGGACTTGAGCAGCATTAAATCTTTAGGCTGTCAGCAGATCGGCTTTACAAATTCACCACAGTGCCTAAAAATAGAGAAAATGAGCATTGTGCAGAGTAGGGTGAGACTGTGTATTACTGGAATTTTAAACAGTATAGGCACTTATTTTCAATGTTTCACATAGCTATACATGCATAAGGGACCAGCCTGACGTGGTCTAGCAGGACTTCATTTTCTGACTAAAGTTCCACTTTAAATGTGCATAGTCTGAGCACAGCTTCACTTTAACCAGGTAACAGGTGCATTTAATAATTCTATCATCTGTCTGCTTAGAATACAAATAAAAAAACAGTTCTACCAAATAAAAGCTTAAATGTCAATGTTCTGAAATCTGAAAAAAACAGTGTGTTAATAAAAAATAATTTTGGTATGTAAAGCAAAATGCTAAAAGTGTCACTGTCAAAACTGCCACATGTGCAAAAAATTTGAAAAAAAAAAAAACTGTGAAATCTGATCTAATCACAAAAGATTTAATTAACTCAGGTCATGAAGAGGTTAACTAATAAAGAGCATAAGAAAGTTTATTAAAGCAGAGCTCCAGTCACCTTGGCAGTTTTCTACAACTGCTGGGGCACCCATGTGATTGTCTTTAGTTGCACAATATAAAAAGGATACTGTTATAAGTGTATTTCTTCTTCTTACATGGAAATATGACTTTCATCACAGAATCTCAGCAGACAGGCAGCGGCCATTACTAGTGTGGGCATCTGAAGCCCGCTCCTACTTGCTTCTGGGATTCTGTGCAGCTGGCTACCCAGGATGCACCTCCCAATTTTGTGCCTGCGCACTGTGTTGCTTACAGGTTGCCATAACAATGGCGGCAGCAGAAATTCCCACCCCGCTGTTATGGCAACCTGTCAATCAACACAGAACCCGGAAGGAAGACAAGTGTGGTCTGAAGGTTCCTGAGATAAATGGCAGCAACATCCCAGGAACCCTAGGAAATCTCCTAATGACGTAATCGCCTAGGCGGCCTGGACTGTGTTGCTTACAGGTTCACATAAAATGCAGACTACAATCAAAAAAAATAATGTATTTAGAAGGCCCTAGGAAAAAAAAAAGGCGGGCCGGGACCGGAAAATAATTGCCATTACAGACTGTTCTGTGGATGAACATTGTGTTGCAAGGAACATGAAAAAATGGGTGGAACTCCACTTTAAAGCAGTTAGCAACTATGCCAGATGTGAGCTGGTGAACCAACTTATGAGAATGGACAGAGAAAATTTCTCCAACACGCTCTTTTCTAAAAATCAGGCTAACCACTTTAGTTGCTAATCATGAGGAAACCAGCCATTCAGCAACTTTTTCAATGTGTTGAAAGTAATTGGCCTAGTAATAAAACTTAACAGTGCATTAGTAAATGGCATGCTTAGGGATTGTTAATACTTTTTGTTCCAAGTTCATACGGGTCAAACTTTGTACAGCTTGAAGAGACTATAACATAAAAAATGTATAAATAATACATATTGGACAAGGAGGCAAACTATGATCGTGTTGGTCCAATAGATCAGTTAGCGAAAAACTATTCTGTTATTGGCTGAACTAGAGACTGATACAGTTTTCTAGGTGCCTGAACTTTATATCTGTAGCAGTTTTTGGTTTGTTTTTTTAAAGAACAAGAAAAATCCCCATCCCAAAATCCCACCCTGTCCCAGGCATCCTATACTACTATTACCATTGCTCTTTTGATGGGGGGGCTGCAAATGCAGCACTTGGGGCTTGAACAGCCAATCACCAGTTCCCAGCACTGTCACATGGTGGCAGAATTACCAGGCCCCCAGTAAGGTCACATGGGGCAGAATCACTAGTACCCCAGCACTGTCACATGGGGCCGAAACATCAGTCTCCAGCACTCTCACATGGAGGCAGAATCGCCAGGCCCTGACACTGTCACGTGGGGTCAGGTGGTTTACCATTTAGTGTGAAACTGTCAAAAATGTTAAAAAATGATATGGCGCCTCAATTAGAATGCTACCTAAACAAAGATTGTTAATTGAGAAGGTTTTTTTTTATTTAAGTA